AAAAACCGAAATAATGCATATGGCAAAAACCGAAATAAAGCATACATGCGCAGTTTCGGATGAAAACCGAAATAATGCATATGTGAAAGACGAAGGTATGCATACATGCACAGTTTCGGTTGAAAACCGAAATAATGCATATAACAAAAACCGAAATAATGCATGCATGCACAGTTTCGGTTGAAAACCGAAATAATGCATATGAGAAAATACCGAAATTATGCATATGCATACTTTCGTTTTAAAAGCGAAATAATGCATATGAAAAAAAAAACGAAGTAATGCATACATGCGCAGTTTCGGTTTAAAACCGAAATAATGCATATGGTAAAAACCGAAATAAAGCATACATGCACAGTTTCGGTTGAAACCGAAATAATGTCTAAATGCACAGTTTCCATATGCGCAATTTCGGTGCCCCATAAAATACATATCGTCGTTTAAAGTACAAAACCGCGTATCAACAAAATGCAAAACCGCGTATGTGAGGTTGCATAAACTATTTTCTAGAGAGTAAAAACACTCATATTTCAAAATGGTTCTCTTTTTTACAAAACAATTGCATTTCTGGCTGGTATATTTTTGTACTTTAAACGACGATATGAAAGGGCTGTTCAGGATCTTGTGCATATGCTCTTGCATTTGCATATTCGTTGCATTTGTAAATTCACAACAATAAAATGCACACGGTTGCCATGGCAGCAAGCAGAAAATTTGCACATGCAATTCTAATTGCAAATCCAAGACCATTTCCACAACATCCTGAACCTCCCTGAAGTTTTATGTGCATTTTCGCCCTTCATTTCTTTACAATAAATTTTCCAAAGACGACTTACATACATAAACTAAAAGGAGCGTCTGAAGATGTAAGCAGCGTCATACGACACATCTTTACAGATGAAGTGCTTGAGCTGTATAACTGGGATGGAAGGTGGGAGAAGATGCCATTAAATAAATTATCAATTGTAGATGCAATTCTGCGAGGTATGTATGTATGTATGTATATATATGCATTAACTTTAATGACATTTCTTGCATTTTAGACGTTTTTAAACATCAAGGCGTTTTGGACTTTGAGAAAAGCATAAAAAAATCAAGCGATCGCAGCCATCACCGTATAAAACAAAAAAATTATTTAATAAAAAAAAATAAAACTCCTAAGCATTAAAATTATAAAAAATACCAAGTATAAAACAAGTACAAATTCTGAAATGGAATACAATTTATAGTTAGCCTATAAATATTAATTTAAGTTCGGTTGCTTTAAATAGATTTTAATTTGATTTTTTAATTGAATAAAAAATGTATAATTCATGTTTTTGAAAAAAAAAATACATCAATTGGAAAAGTTTTATTACTAAATCATTTATGCCAGAGATTTTCGATAAGTATGATTAATTAAATTTGATTTATATTTGCATCAAGTGTGAACATCATATTTGATAAATATATTCATCAAATGAGGGAATCATATTGCATCAATATTTACATCAAGGCTGATTATAAACTATAGTTTAATATGACGTCAAAACCCATCAATTGTGATCAGTCATATTTGACCAACTTTTATACAGGTATGATTTATCAATACTGACTTAAGATCCCATCAAGCATGATTATTCCTATGTGACCAATATTTATATCATTGGTGATTCACATGTATACGATTTCTTCCATCAAATTTTGCACATTGCCCTTAATATTTTGATAGAAACTTTCATACAAAGTAATGACGAGTATTTCTATCAGGATTGTCCGTCATTTTGCCGGTCATATGATTGTCACTGTTCTTGCAGGGACGAGACTCGAAACCGGGTACTTATTCACATGTAAATTTGATAGTGTTGAAAAAACCATGGTTTAATAAATGTAGATTGACTCCATGGCAAATCAAGACGCCTAAGGGTAAAAACATAGTGAAGCGGCGAGCAAAACGAAGAGCTAACATCGAGCAAAGCTTCAATTACAAATGTGTATGTACGCTTTGCTCTTCACTATACGCTTTCCCATTGAAACATATGCGTTTGAAATCGACGCTTTGCTCGATGCTCTTTGCTCACCGCTCCACTATGTTCTTACCCTAACAGAATCCTCGCTGGATACACTTATGATACCGCTTACTTAAACAAGATTAAGGCCATCAAAAAAGATCTTTGTAGATGTGGTCAAATTGATCAAACCATTCGGATTTTGGCAGCAAGCGTGCGTGGGTCGTGCGCGTCTTTTCTTATAGTTATTTGTGCGTGTACCG